CAAATATAATGGTCAGAGGAGTGTGTGCAAAGGTAGAATTTATGTGAAGATCTAAAGGAGATGAGAGAGCCCTGTGGATACCTTTCTGTAAGAGCATTTAGTTGAAAGGAGCAGCAGATGAAAAGACAGTGAAGCAAAAGCATAACTGGCATTGTTAGAGGTCAGCAGAAGAGATCAGTTAGTGGGGCAGAAGTAGGTTGCTGGAGGGGGCGCCGAGGAGAGGAAGTGAGGCTGTAGAAATCCATTACTTACAAAGATTTATATCCTTTTAAAGGACCGTGATTTTTACTCTGAATGAGATGAGGTGTCGTCTCAGCATTCTAAACTTGACTTCTATTTAACATTCTCACTTTGACTGCTAGGTTGAAAATGGGTGTAAGACTATTACCTTAGTACAGTAATTTAAATAATTCAATAAAGAAAACAAAAGCACACATGGATTCTAATATTACTTTCCTTTTCTAGAATCTACCATGGTTCTTGCTATCTACTATGTTGCTTTGTTTTATTGCTTATATTTTCAAACTCTTTGTAATCTTGCCACATTGTTTCTATTTAGTCCCATTTCTTGTGGTTCTTTCAGACCTAGGAATAATTGTTTTTGTCCTAATTCTTCTGAACCTAGGACAAATTTGAGCATAATTCCATTACCTATAATTTGTTCCAGTAAAAATAACTGGGAGATTTTACATAATGGACACTGAATACACAAAAGGTCTTGTTCTATAAATAAATGAAATGTTTTAGAATTCTTCATTTAAATACTGTTGAGGCTCTTAAACATGCAAGTAATTGATCTATTTTCATCATCTTACTGGTCAAGTGTCCTAGTTGCAGAAAACAGAATCCATTCTACCTAGTGACTTACTAAAGGGTAATGACTAGGTAACAGAATCTTTGGGAGTGACATGATATTAGGTATTTTTGTTAACGTAGCTTGGAACCAGGCAGGCAGGAAAAATATCCAAGCATGCCATATAACTGATCAAGCAGCATCTCCATGGCCTTCATTGTCCACAAGGTATTATGAAGGTCCAGTTACTAGAACTTCTTTATTAGAGCTACCACAGAAGAAACAAACACCTTCACCACTGTACTTGCAAGACCACTGCCTCAGATCGTTTACTTCTTCCTTCCAAATATTGCACACTTACGTATACTTGGTTCATTGTCTAGAACCTTAGCTGGTGTGGAGTCTGGAAACTTGTGTATACTGTTCTGTCCTCTGCAGTATGTGGAGGTATGCCTGAAAGATTTGAATGATTTGAAAGATTTTATTATTTTTGAATATCTATCATTATAATAAAATAAATAAAAATGACAGTGGGTTATTCTTTTTCATATTAGATTGGCAGTATATATTTCAATAACTTTCATGTTAAAAATTACAGGGAAACAATCACTCAAAATTTGGTAGAAATATAAATTAGTGAAACATGTGGAGGACAAGTTGGCATTAACTGCCCAGATTACAAATGAGTACACCCATTGATTGAACAGTTTGGGAATTTATCTTACATAGTCACATAGTTTGGAAACAAATGTCCATTAATAGAGGACTGGCTAAATACAATTCAGTGAATTCACAAAAGGGGAAATTCTGCAGCCACTGAAGAGAAGGAGATGGTAGACCTTTGTGGGCTGATTTGGGACGATCTCCAGGGTATAGTAAGTGAAAGAAGCAATTTCAGAATGGAGTGTACATGTGTGATATTATGTGTGTAAGAGAGAGAAACAAAGGCTCTGTGTGTGCATAAACCATAAGAAAATTTGTTTCTGGGAGAGCCAGAAAATGAGAAATTGATGTGACATGGCTGGGACTCATGCATACCATGCAACTGATTTAACTTTATCTGCTCTTCCATTCTAAACGATAGCTCTGCTGGATAGAGTAATCTTGGATGTAGGTCCTTGCCTTCATGACTTCTTTCTGGCCTCTTCTTGCCTGTAAAGTTTCTTTTGAGAAATCAGCTGATAGTCTTATGGGAACTCCTTTGAGGGTAACTCCTTTCCTCTTGCTGCTTTTAAGATTCTCTCCTTATCTTTAATCTTGAGTAATTTAATTATTGTGTCTTGGTGTGTTCCTCATTGGGTCCAACTTCTCTGGGACTCTCTTAGGTTCCTGGACTTCCTGGAAATCTATTTCCTTTGCCAGATGGGGGAAGTTCTCTTTCATTATTTTTTCAAGTAAGTTTTCCATTTCTTGCTCTTCCTCTTCTCCTTCTGGCACCCCTATGATTTGGATGTTGGAAAGTTTCAAGTTGTCCCAGAGGTTCTAATCCTCTCCTCATTTTTTGGAATTCTTATTCCTTTATTCTGTTCCAGTTGAATGTTTATTTCTTTCTATTCCAAATCATTGATTTGAGTTCCCTTTTCCTTCCCTTCACTGTTGGTTCCCTGTATATTTTTCTTTATTTCACTTTGCATAACCTTCACTTCTTCCTCTGTTTTACGTCAGTACCCAATCATTTCTGTGAGCATCGTGATTACCAGTATTTTGAACTCTGCATCTGATAGCTTGGCTCTCCTCGTCATTGCTTAATTCTTTTTCTGGAGTTTTCATCTGTTCTTTTATTTAGGCCATACTTCTTTGTTTTGGCACACCTGTTATGTTCTAAGAAGCAGAGCCTTAGGTATTCACCAGGGCAAGGCAACCCTCTTCACTGCATTGTGGTGCTGTCTGTGGGGGAAGGGTCAGAGAGGGAACACTGCCGCTTGCTCTGCTCTTGCCCCACTTTTCATCACTTCCCCTGCTACCCACTAGTGAATTGCGCCTTTCTGGTGCTGGTTCCCCAGGTGGGTGGGTTTGTGTATATTCTAGGACCCCATGGGTCCCTCCAATGGACACTCCTATGAGAGTGGGAGATTGTCTCACCACCACAACCCCCACAGGTTTTTACTGCCTGGGGTTTGAGGCTTTACTTCTCTGCACTGGAACCTTGGGTTGCATGGCCTGTCTTGCTCCTCAGTTGTTCCTCCTGGTTTATTCCCAAGCAAATGCGGGACTGCCCCATCTGCCAGACACTTCCTTGCCACGTGTCCTATCTGCCCCAGCTGCTGGTCTTTGCCCCTCCTATAGTCAGGGCAAATGTTTCTTCTTTAACTCTTTGGTTGTCAGACTTCCATATAGTTTGATTTTCTGGCAGTTCTGGTGGTTGTTTTCTTTCGTTTGTGTTTTCAAATTGGTGGTTGTCCTTGTTTTGGTTGTGCAAGGAAGCAAAGTGTATCTACCTATGCCTCCATCTTGGCCAGAAGTCTTAAAAACTGTTTTGAGCAGTGGAAAAAATGTCAATAGGTGTATTGCATCAAATGGAGAGTACTTTGAAGGTGACTGAAGTTTAAACATGTAAGAATAAATACACAATTTTTTATAAATAAATTGTGTTTTTTTATCCTACCTGGTATTCATGAGTAAGTTAGGATAAAATACTATATAAGGAAATTTTTCTTAATGATATTAGGGTGTTGCTTTTTGGTGGGCTATATGCTATAACTGATATTAATGACACAGGTAGTTGGAAAATAGAAAATGTCATTGATTACTTCTGGAAGTGAAGTGGGAATGCTTTCTATTTAAAAAGAGTTTATGTTTTTTAAGACATTTTACCATTTTGAACATTAGTTTTATATGTAAAAAAAGATGTGATACAAAAATGTGATTAACAAATGCGTGACATTAGTATTAGTTCTTAAATAAGAACTTAGTCCCTTCTTCCTCATGGTAAACAGAAGCAATACTGTTTTTAATATAGTGTAATGTGTCTTTACTAACACATATGTTAATGCAAAGAGAACAGAATTTACATTCACTTTTGTGAATTAGTGCAGTGAATATGAGAAAATTATTAAAACTTCTACCTTAAATTGTTCTATTTTTCATTGAGATTTTTGTGTTAAAGTACATATTCAAGAAAATGGTAAATTGTTGATACAGGAAACTATCTAATTAAAAGTTCTGATAATATGTGTTTTGTCTTATTTAAGGAGACTTGCAAAGCATCTTAACATAATATTTCTTTGACTACCTGCACATACTTCTCCCTCATGTTTTCTACCTCCAATAATATTGGTGTGCTTTCTTTAATACAATCTTGGTTTAGAATTTTGATCTGTTCCAGATCCTCAACTACTTCCTTATCTGAAGAGGCCTGATAATATTTTATGAAAAACAGTGAAAAGATGGAACCTTAAATAACTGACCAATTTGAAGTCAGTTTGAGAGGGGATAGGCTTGAGGCAAAAAGGAGATCATGTCACTTGCCCTACAAGATGCTATGATCCAGTCTCAGTTTGGAGCCTGTAAGTCAGTAGTCTCCAAAGTAGGGTGCACAAACCTATGTGTTTTGAAATGCTAAGAATATTAGAAATTTTACAATGTGTATTTTGGTAATAGTACATGATTTTAAGTTTGGAAACACTGATATTTAGGTATTTGATTGTTTCAGGTCCACCTCCCAAAAAAGTATCAATTGGAATCAAGGGGTGAAACATTTATAATTCTGAAATTAAACTTGGAATGTGAACTCAAATGTTTTATTTCCCTTTAATAATTTGGATAAACCTTGATGGAAAATGTTGAGGCATAGACGTACTTATAGTAGTACTTCAAGGGCATTTATCCACATTGGGTTGCATCTCTTTTGTCTTAATGTTTGTACTAAACTTGTATACCATGGAGGAACATTTCATAGGCTAATGTTCTCTCTTAGATCTTTTGCCAGCTGAGAATACAGATACTATCAACAGCAAAACTATGTCCTTCACTTTCAGTTACATGTAATTTCTTCCCATTATACATTGGGTAGCTTTCCTAAGCATCCAGTTTACATTTTGTGATTGTTGTATGCCACATGATACCAAGAGATGCCATATTTCGCCTTATTCCTTCTTTTGTGTATCCAGTACATTGTGGTACGCAACATATGAGAGACCAGCAAATGGTGATGGCTATAATTTATGAATTGATGACTAATTTATAAATATTCATGTTTTTATCTCAGGTATTCAAGATTAAAGCAGTCCAATTGGCTGAGAAACTCCTTCCTGCCTTTAACACACCTACTGGGATTCCATGGGCAATGGTGAATCTGAAAAGGTAAATTCTGTTTTTATGTGATATTCCTGTTTTAGAATTCTGTGTTAACTTATCTATTACGGTTTTTATTTAATTTATTTTTTAGTGGTAGCTATAGGAATCACACTATACATAATTGATTTTTCAGTTAACAGAGTCAGTATTTTAACTCTTCATGTAACAGATAGAAACATTTCAACCACACTGTTCATTTACACTATCCTTCCCATCCTTATTGTGCTAAGTTGTCAGGTGAATTACATCTTAACACACTATTAATCTCAGAATACATTGTTAAAATATTAAACAGACCTATTTATTTTATAGAATTGAGGGGAATAATAATCTAATATTTACCCACGTGTTTACTGAATAATAGTCTAATGTTTACAAGGCAGTGTATCTAGTGTTCTTTTTTTCTCTTTGAAGATCTGAGTTTTAATGTGATATTACTTCAGCCTAAAGAATTTTATTTAGCATTTCTTGTAGTGCTAATCTGTAGGGATGAATTCCTGTTGTGGTTTTTTTCTTTGTTTGTTTGAAAAGCCTTTACTTTGCTCTCACCCTTAAAGGATATTTTCAGTGTGTGTAAAATGTTTGATTGATGGTTTTTCTTACTATACTTTGAAGATGGTTGTTTCTCTCTCATCTAGTTTTCATTGTTTCTGATAAGTCAGAACTTGAATGATCATTATCCTGTTTTATTCTTTCTGTATCCTGCTTAGCCTTTGCTGATGAGCTTGTTGAATCTGAATATGTCTTTCACTAAGTACAATGGTAAAATCTTGGTTATTATTTCTTCAAATGTCTTTTCTGCCTCATTTTTTACTTCCTTTTGCAATTTCAATTCGTGTATTTTAGATGTTTCACTACTGTCCCACAGGACCCTGAAGGTCTTATTTTTTTTTTTCTCTTATCTCTTCTCGCTGTTTTCAGCAATTCAAGGATTTCCTTTGATTGTGTTCACGGACTCTTTCCTAGGTTGCTCTAATCTGCTCGTAAGCCTATTCATGAATTTTTTTTTTAGATTTTTGATTTGCTGCTCTTTCATTCTCATTCTCTGCTGAGATTTTCTGACTTTTCTTTCACTGTGAATGTATTTCCCTGTATTTCATCAAACATGGTTAGAATAGCTGTTCTAAAACGTTTGCGTTCCTAATGTCTAGGTCATCTTGGAGTTGGTTTCAGTGGATTATTTTTCACTGCGTTTGGGTAACACTTTGAATGTATCCTGGACATTGTGAAAGTTTTCTCATGGAGACTCTTGAATCTCATATTTTTCTAAGGGGTGTGTGCATGGGAGTCTGTTGTCTGTGTGTTATTAAGTAGCTATTTAACTTAGTTGGATTCAAACTTGAAACTTTCTAGGATTCCTCTTCCCTCTTTTTTCAGCAGCTCTAATTTCTGCAGATCACTGGCTTCCAGTTCTTCAAGACAGAAAGACTACAAGTTTTCTGTCAGATGTTAGCTCTTTTGCCTAGAATGGACTTTGTCTTTGGGCTAAAAGCTATTAAAAAATGGAAAACATATCCCATGCTCACCTGTTTTTCAAAGTCCCCATTATTTTCAGGATTGCCTGACTTTGTTCATGCTTCAGTGACTTTAGTTCATTGCCATTTTGTACTTTATCCAGAGTTTATAGTTTTTTTTCCCCCATGGAGAAACTGGTTCAGTCACTAGAAGATATCAGCATCATAATGCAAGCATAAATTAGAAAACTTTTGTTAGATTTATTCACAGTGTCTTGATTTTAAAAAATGTTCTGATAAATGCTATTTAAAATTTTTAAGTTTCTACTTCTGGAACATAGAATACAGTTGTTTTTGTAATCATAGTTTGAGTTCAGTCTTGCTGAATTTGCATTTTCTTGATAATATCAATAATTTATCTGAAATCCCACCCCCCCTTTACTGTACTGGCTACAATATGGAGTAGAAATGGTGATCACAGACATTCTTGTCTTAGTAGAAAGTGAGTTTTTTACCAGTAAGTATGATGTTAGCCATAGATCCATAGATTGTTTTGTAGATAATTGTTATTAGTTTAAGGCAGTTCTATTTATTCTAATATTTTAAAAGGTTTAAAATTATGTATTTTTGAAACTTTTTCTAGCAACTTTTCTATAGTTTATTTCTAAATCGTTTTATTACAGTCATTTGGCTTGATTTATTTTCCAATGGGGAACCATTATTACATTCAAGGAATAAACCCAATTTGATCATGATGTAGTATTCTTTTTATATATTGCTGGATTTTTGCTAATATTTTGTTTATGGTCTTTGCATTTTTTGTGTGTGTGATGTTGGTCTATACTTTTTCTCTTGATGTTCTTGTCTAGTTTTCATATCAAGGTTGTGCTTCTCTTATAAAACATGTTGGGTAGTGTTCTTTCTTCTCTTCTCTGGAAGAGTTTGTATCAGAATTATTTTTTTATCCTTATGCTTGATAGAAGCTTCCAGTAAAGCCATTTGGGTCTGGAATTTTGAGAAAGTTTTAATACTGCTGATTTTATATCTTTTATCACTTAAATAAATTACATTAGATAACTTGTTTTCTATTTATTTTAAATAAACTTTAGTAAGTTATACTTTCCTAGGACTTTGGTCATCTAGCATAATATAGTAATTACATCCTTGTATTGATTTACTGTCTGTATTATATGTTACATATTTTCAGTAAAGAGTGGCATTCAGCTTTTTTTTCTGCATACCCCTAAGCAAGATACTGTAGATATTTTCAGTGAATAAAATACACTTTTCACTTTCAAAGGACCAACCAGGACTGCATGATATTCAGTGGAGGAACACATGGCAGATACCCAACTAATCTGTTACAGAGGACATCAGTTTATAGTCAACATGATATGAGATCATCAGAGAAAAGGAAGTTTACTTTTATTTAAGAAGGTTAGGGAGTTTTCAGGAGCATTTTAACTTGTTTTTGTAAAGGAGTGAGAGATATGAATAGGTGATAGATGGTATAAGGCATCCTGAGTGGAGGAAATAATTTAACAAAAAGAGATATGGAAATGGGAAGATACAGGTAAGAGACTGACTTTTAAAGAAATGGCTGGTGATGAAATATGGGGGTCCAGTATGTATGAACCACCAAATGCCTCAGCTAGTCCTCTGAGTAAAGAGATTTATAAAAGGGCAAAAGTGCCATTTTTGTGGAGAGCCTTAACCTTTATGCTCGCCTTGGAGTTACTGAGATATATTTCAGTACCAGGAGATTAAAGGAAGATCTGAAGAGGGCATTTGAAATATTTTCCTCTGAAAAAGTAACAAGGCATGTATAGGGCGTAAATGAAGAGGGTCCTGGTCATCACTGATGCCCCTAATGTGGTGAGTTAACTCATGGAACAAACTGGGAGCACTTTTCTGGAAGTCCTTTGCCCTTCTGAAGGCCGCAACATTCTCAACAGCAATGATGTTTAACCTCTTCACTAGATTCAGTCCTCTTGCTTTGTACATGCATCCAACAGAACCATTCCTGTTTTGTTGACCACCATATTCTAAACACTTAAACATGCGGCTGCACGCAAGTAACTTATCCCACATAACAGTCTGATAAGGAGTGATTCTGACATAGTTGGCAAAAGCACAAGGAATGAAGCTTAACTAAATATGCAGAATAGAAGCTGAATGGACCAGGAAACCATTTACATGAAAGGCTTTATTAAAAACAGCAGAAGAAACCACACCGAGATGACATTACCCAGCCAACAGCCTTGGCATCCTCCACATAACCCTTTAACTGCTATATCACTGAATTTCTCCAGCTTGACCACTGAAGGAAGTTCTGTTATTCAGGGTTCAGTGAAGGATTCTGAGAGGAAATTGTCTACTATGATTTTGGATAAGTACTTAGTTTGGATTGATCTGTTCAAGAAGGAGTAAATAGATAAAAATTAAGACCTTAAAAGGATTTTACACCTTAAAATTTGGAAAACTCAATCAAAGAGGCAGAGGAAGCAGGCATTTGATGAACTTTTACTTTAGGAAATATTTAAATTTTAAACATAAGCTTGCCTGTCTTAAAGTTTTCAATCATGTTGAACTTAAAGATATTATAAGCCGAATAAAATTTAAGGGGAATAACAAACTAGGAAAAATGTTAGTAGCAGTAATGATATTGATGGCATGTGAGTATCGTAATATATAAATAGCTTTTACAGACTGCTATGAAAAATGCCCACCAATTATTTTAAAGCTGCCAAATACGTGACTGGGTAATTAAAAAAAGAAATACTATTAAAAAATAAACATTAAAACCTTTAGCCACTTTAGTCATCATTTTTTTTTTACCAAGAAAATTGACAAAAAGAGAATGATGTTATTTAGGATTGGCAGAATGAAGAAATGAAAACCACGTATAATTGTTGGAATTGGAAATCTGAGTAATGTGGAAGGTACATTAGCAGTAGGTTCCAGAAGCCTTGAAATATCCCTGCCCTTTGACCTTTCACTTCTGGAAATTTATCTTGGTGAAGTGAAAGTATACACAAAGATTTGGTTGTAAGAGGTTTATGGCAGTGATGTTTATATTAGTGAAAGAATCATTACATGCAAAGGGGTGGCATGTCCATGCCATGGAATGTAACAGCCATTTGAAATGATGTTCTGGAAGTGAACTTTTGGAGAAGCATAATACTTGTGATGTATTAAGTGAAAAAGCAACATATGTAAGAATATGACCCTATTTTTAATTAAATAAAATATACTCTATCATGCTGGCTACTTGCTTCTAAGTAGGAAACAGAATTCACTTTCTTACTGTATCTTCCTTCTCCTTAGGCTTCTCCCTCTCCTTCCCTCTTCTTATCTCTTTACTTTTCTCCCTTACTTTCTTTTCTCTTTTTACATAGCTAGATATTTAATTGGAAAAAAGAAATACATGTTTTGGATGAATATACATGTATTGAAATGGCCTATACTCACTATAAAGTAAGCTTTTGATTCCAACCCCCTAGTCTTTCAGGAATACCACTGTTAAAAATTCCTTGACAGTCCTGTCGATATGTGCATAAATGCCCTTGTGTGTATGTATTATTTACTTGTCATTTTCATTTAACAGCAGAGCTTTATTAAACAAAAGATTTAATGAAACATTAGAGTCAGCACATTAAAATCAAGAACAAGACAGTATTTAACATTTTTTGTAGGTTTTAACCTACAAAAGTGAAACCAAATAGGAAAAAGGAATAAAATAAAGATAATGAACTGGAAACAAAATTATAAATAATTGTGGATCATATGATTCCTTGCTTAGGGAAAAAAAGATGACCAGCTAAAAACTGTGAGATTAATAAAGGGGTTGGCCAAATTGGACAGTTAAATATTAAAACATCCTTTTGAACCCCAAATATATTGGATAGAAACTATAGGAGGCTTATATCTTATTATAAGTAAAGGCAAAGCCTTTTACTGTCTTAGCAAAGCCTAAAAACAATCCTTGAAAGAACCTAGCTACTGACAAGTTATTTAACTGTCAAAAGGAAATTGAAAGTGCTTTAAAGGAAGTAAAAAAATTCAAATATTCAGTAATATTTTCATACTGTCCAGAATCCAACAAAAAATTACTGCTTATGCAAAGAAGCAGGAAAATATAACCCATAATTAAGAGAAAAAAACCAAACTGTCGATAGAAGCGTGCACAGAAATAACTGAGATGATGGAGATAGCAAGAAAGGACTTTAAAATATCTGTTATAAGTGCTCCGGGATTTAAAGGGAAATGTGAACATAATGAGAAGAGAGATTTTTAAAAGGATCAAATGGAACTTCTAGTGCTGAGAAATACCTGAAATGAATTCACTTGGCAGGCTTACCAGCAGATTTGACACTGCATCAGAAAAGATCAGTGAGCTTGAAGACGTGGCAGTAGAGACCATCCAAAGTGAAGCAGAAAGAGAAAAATAAAAATAATGTAGCCAGTGACCTGTGGGACAATAATCAGATGTCTGACAAACATATAATGGAGTGGTTTGGGGGGAACAGCAGGAGTGGCAGAAAAACTATTTGAAGAAATGATGGCCAAAAAATTTCTCAAATTTGACAAACAACTATAAACCCACAGGTCCCAGACACTGAATGTAACCCAAACAAGATAAACATAGAGAAACATAATGAAGGGCTGAAAGTCAGTGAAAAAGGAAAAAAGTCTTAAAAACTGCCTGAATAGTAAAGACATTATGCGCAGGGAACAAGGTTAGCACTACGGCTTACTCTGTGTCTGCATCGGTGCAAGCCAGGAGACAATGGAGTGCGTCTTGAAAGTGCTGAAAGAAAAAAAACCACTCTCAAATTCTATAACCACTGAAACTGTTTTTCAAAACTGAAGGTGGAATTGACATTTTTAGACAAAGAGCTTAGAGAATTTATTGTGAGCACACCTCTATTACCAGAAATATTAAACTTTTTAATAACACTGGTGGAAAGGCAGATCTGCATAAAGGAATGAAGAGCAGTTGAAAGAGTAAATACATGAGTGAATATAAAAGGTGAAGTTGCAAATCAGAGCATTTACTTGAAATTGTGATCTGATTGGTTTTTGGCAGCTTGTCACCTTTTTTATATTGGGAGCCTTTCTGTTCTCATCAGTATTATATTTTGTTTTGGGGATTTTTTTTATTTTTCTGAGTTGTTAGACTTTATGTAGGTTATAATTTAACATTTTAGATTGTTCCTGTGAAGCTGTGTATAAGATACATGAAAAGCTTTGTTTAAAATTTAGTGTTCTGAGAAGTGTTTAAGTGCGCTATGAATGAAACTCCATTTGGGACTTCTGGCCAGAGAGAGTGTTTGTAGGGAAGAGGGAGCTGTTGGACTTCCTGGGGACTTGGTGTTCATGTACTTGGCCACACCGCTATCCATTTGCCATGCTGCGGCCTAGGTAGTCTTTTTAGATGGTGTGCTTCGTCCCTTAAATCTCATGTTACATTTCTTAAAATCCTTCATGACTTTTTATCACACTTAGAATAAAAATTTCACTGTAACCTTCCTGAATTCTTACATAATTTGGATCACACTCTCTAATGTTCATTTCCCCTTCCTGAGCTCTAGCCACCCCGGCCACCTTCTTTTCCTTCAGGGTCCTCACGTTTGCGGTTTCTCTGCTGGGAACTCTCTCCTTCGAGATCTAGGCATCACTTGCTCCTTCTCACATCGCCCAGGTCTCAGTTCAAATCGTGTCTTTTCAGAAACACTTTCTGAACATTATGCATAAAGAGCCTGTCTCCTAACTCACCTTTGCTAGTAGCCACTATTCTACTCCTCTACTTAATTTTCTTTATAACAATTATGATGATTTAAAATATTCCTATTTACTATGGGAGCAGGAATGCTGTATGTCAGGTTCACTACTGTATCTACCAGAGCATAGTAGGCACTTACTGTTTGGAAATGAATGACTGTCCTATGTAGTTACTTACTAATACATACCCATATTTCATCCCCGATTCTCACTTCTAGCTTCAAAAAAAAATCTGCTAGTGGTACCATATTTTCAATAACAGTGTAAAAACTGCTCCGAATGATTTAAAAACTTTAAGTGAGGTAGGGATACCTTGATATCTATTTTAATGTTTTCACAACACATAAATAAAATATGACATACTGAATTGGCAGTGTACAGGTGTATATAAAAAGAGAAAAAGACTTATAGTTTTACCCTGTCCTCAAAGTAAAAAAGACCCTGGAGAATGGAGAGTTCTAGTAGGAATAACTCTGCTACTTGAATAGTTAGTTAATCTAGACTTCCAGTTCCAATCATGGAATAGCTTCTATCAGGCTGACCCTACCTCCAAAAGCAATCATAAAGTTTTGACGAAATGGTTTGGACACACTGGAGAGCAACTAACTCAGGTAGGATTTCCTAAGAGAAGGTCATCTCCATATAAACATTGACTTTTTACCTCTGGAGCATTTTCCAAGTCATGCTACAGACTGGTAAAGGCCAAACCTCATTTGGTGGTGGACTAGGGCCAGGAGGCTGTGGTCAGGTCTTAGAGCTGCCAAACTGACTGAGACATGAGGCACAAAATCTCAAGACAGGGAGGATTGTGGAAGAAAAGCCCACAATTTTATGCACGGAATTTTCCCAAGTTGTCGGTTGATTCTGTGATTACACGTGCAAGGGGAAGGACTCAAGGAAATCCAGCAGAAAACAGCATTTGGGGGCTAAAGGGCAAAGGAGAAAAGTTAAGTCACATGGTTTGGGGAGGCAGAGGTTAGTGTTTAAGGCTGCCAAAGAGGCAGTCCTTTGGTAAGTGCCCCAGGCTTTCAGCTGAGTCTCAGAGGGCCACTCTCTAGAAGCAGAGGTAAAACTGAGATAGATACCCTTTAAAAAGCCTAAAACTGAGGTAATCTGCCTGTACTCAGCCTGTGTTTCAGAAAAAACGTGACCTTTCCAGAAAGAAGATAATGTCCAAAGCCTTGACATTTTTTCATTTATATTGTCTGGCTTTCAATAACAAGTTAAAAGCAGGCTAAAAAGGGGGCAGGAAGGTATAGCAATATCTATAATCAAAAAGGTCAGGAAGGTATAGATGTAGCAATGCATCTGCACAAAAGAAGTGTACGTGAGATTACCCACTGGAAAGGTTTTCATAGTAGCTAAATATTAGAAATATGCTAACAGACCACCAGTAGGGGCTGATTAAATTATATCTATCTATATAATGTAGTGGTTTTCATACTGGCACTATTCGCATTTGGTGCTGGACAGTTCTTTACTGTTTGATGTCCTGGCCATGACAAGACGTGTGACATCTTTGGCCCCAGCACAGTAAATGCAGATTGTATTTTCAAGGTTTGAGACAACTCAGGATGTTCTCACACATTTTCTTGGCCTCTGGGATGGGGCATGCCAACCGAAAATCATTATTATCACGTGCAGCCGTAAAAAAAAATGAGAAAGCTGTTGATAAACTAATTTGGGAAAACCACTGAGATACATCTTAAGAGTAAAATACAAGGTACAGAGCAGTAAGTATACTTTGCTATGTTTTGTTTAAGATAGGAGGAAAATAAGAATATGTATTTGGATTGCTTGTATATGCGTAAAAATTCTGTACTAACACATAATGTGATTATCTGTGGGGCTTGGTGGTGTGAGGAGAGATGAGATTTCTAGGGTGATATATGTTTACTATGTACTTTCTTATGCTGTTTTAATTTTTTAAATATGTGGGTATAGTACCTATTCAAAAAATTTAAATAATAAAATTTTACATATAAATAGGTATTATGTTAGATATAATAATTCCTAAGCAATTTATTTAAGGCTTGTGTACTCATTGAGGAAATGTTCTGGTCTTTTTCCAACCTTGTTTCCTTTCCCTTTGTTTTCCCTCAGTGGAGTCGGCCGGAACTGGGGCTGGGCGTCTGCAGGCAGCAGCATTCTCGCTGAATTTGGGACACTGCACATGGAGTTTGTCCACCTCAGTTACTTGACAGGGGACCCGGTTTATTACAAAAAGGTTAGTTTTCCTGCCTTCTTTTCTTTGTTATTAAAGAATCCTTTAAGCCCTGGCTGGTGTGGCTCAGTGGATTGAGCACCAGCCTGTGAACCAAAGGGTTGCAGGTTCGATTTCCAGTCTGGGTTGCAGACCAGGTAGGTCCCCAGGAGGGGGCACATGAGAAGCAGCCACACATTGATGATTCTCTCCCTCTCTCCTTCCCTTCCCCTCTCTCTAGAAATAAATAAATAAAATCTTAAAAAAAAATCCTTTAAGATTTACCCAAAGACTTGACTAATGCTTAGAAAATGATGGCCTTGCCCTGTCAGATGTGACTCAGTTGGTCAGGCATCATTCCAGAAAGCACAGTTGCCAAGTTGGGTTTCTGGTCAGGGCACATGCCTGGGTTGCAGGTTCGGTCCCTAGTCGGGGCATGTACTAGAGGCAACCAATAGATGTTTCTCTCTCACATCGATGTTTCTCTCCTTTTTTTCCCTCTTTTCCCGAACTCTCTTTAAAAGTAAATAAAATATTTAAAAAAAAAGAAGAAGAAAGAAAACAATCACTTTTCCAGAAATATGTTTATCAGGACTCTGGGCTTCCTTTTTCTTTTTAAATTATCTAAAAAAAGTCCTTTCTATTTAGGACATATTTTAAATATTTACTGTTATTTGAGAAGTTTTAACCACTAGAAGGCTTTAAAAAAAATTTGATTGCCTTCTCTATTCAGCATTGTGCTGAAATTTCTAGCCAGCATGGTAAGGCAAGAAAAACAAAATGAACAAAAGTTCAAGAATTGAATTGACTTAAAAAGGAAGAAAGAGCCCTGGCTGGTATGGCTCAGTGGATTTATTGCTGGCCTGTGGACCAAAGGTTGCTGGTTCGATTCCCAGTTTAGGGCACATGCCGAGATTGCAGGCCAGGTCCCCAGTGGGGGGCACGCAAGAGGCAAACCACATATTGATGTTTCTCTCCTTCTCTTTCTCCCTCCCTTTCACCCTCCCTTAAGCTCTCTAAAAATAAAGAAATAAAATCTGTTAAAAAAAGATGAAGAAGAAAATAATCACAAATTACATGATTACCTAAAATATTGAGACAATCTACATTTAAATTATTACAAATAAGAGCTTTAATATATTTTTTGACTATAGATACTAAAAATCAGTAGCATTTCTCTGCATCAGCTAACCAGGCAAGAAAGTATCACTTTACAAAAACATACATTACGTGGTAAGAACAAAAATGTAAGTTTTCTACAGATAAATTGATCAAAAGATAAACAAACTTCAAAACTATTGAATGCTATTGAAGAGGACCTTAATGGAGAGATGTGTCATGTTCCTGTATAGTTAAACAAGATAAGAATTTCAGTTATCTCCAAATTGATTTTTAGCATCAGTTCATTGCCAATCAAAATGTTTTGCTTTATATTTTTATTGTTGCTTAATTTTTAAATAATTATCATATGTCATCATACAAAATGAGACATTTTAAAAATAGGAGCTATTCTCGACCACCACACACACACAAAGATGGCAGAGGAAGTAGTGAAGGTTCTGAGTGAGGAAAAAACACAAAGTTAGTTTAATATAAGTCCTGATGACATTTATTTTTGTTAATTGCAGTATTTATTTTGTTTAGGTCATGCACATTCGGAAACTACTTCAGAAAATGGAACGTCCAAATGGTCTTTACCCAAATTATTTGAACCCAAGAACAGGTCGCTGGGGTCAGTGTAAGTATTTCTGGTATAACTGATGCTTCGTTAAAAGATTATTTGTGTGAAACTTTTGCTTGATGTCATGAAAAGCACATTGCCTGTGGAGTGAGAAGCCCCGGTTAGTGTCTAACCCGTGTTTTACTGGTACAGTTATCTTTGGCAAGTTTCCAATCTCTTGTAGCTTCAGTTTTCTACTTGTAAAATGAAACATTAACAACCTATCTAATAAGAGTATTTTATTTCTTATATATGCAAGCGCTTTGTTAAAATGTGGTGGAGCATTTGCCAAGGGTTGTACCTGAATCCCCTGTTTATGAAGCATATCTTCATGTGAATAAGGGATAGGTGTTTACTGAAGGAATGCGAGAAACAAGAGAGGATCGGGAACGACTTCTGAACAAGCTGTGTCCAGTCGTTCATCTTCAAGGACGGCATCATCAGTGTCTGTTACTTACTAGGCTCTGCGCCAGGTTCTTGGATGAAACTGGAGATGGGGAAAATATGCAGGCCTTCGTCTGAATTCAGGGAGCTCCCGGGGTAGGCAGGCAGATACACTTAGAAGTAGCTGGAATACGATGTGGTAAATGTTATAGCTGCGCAACGTTCCAGCTGTTATGTGAGACTGTGGTGGAAGTGATTCCCTCTGTCTGACGAGAGAGCGTTTGGTCTGGCGAGGGGGTGATTTTCTTATTACATCTTTAGAATTGCTCTTTGAAGGAATTGACTTTTTACAAATAGTAAGTATTTATATGGAACTTACAGAATTTTAATAAATGATGGGCTTATCAGTAGTATTCTCTCTTAAAAGTCTGGAAAACTAAACTAGTAAAGTTGTGACTTTGCCTCCGGTGTAACATGTTTGGATTATTTTTGAGGCCAATAATAAAACAAAGTAGTAAAGAAGAGATAGAAGTAACAATCACCTAATTTTACGTGTGGGGATCGCTGTCGAATCTCCCAGTGAGAAGTTATGCAGGCACGTGCTACCGAGAGCAGGAAAACGTTCGCCGTGGAATTGTCCTTCGGGCTCCCCTCAAGGAAATCGTCCTCTGCTTTGTGAAAGGAAAACAGATTGGTCAATGCAAGTCTGTCTTTCAAGGATCTGGGAGTAAACCTCAGTCTTTTGGCTCCTCCTGTGTACTTCTCTTTCCCTTTCCCGAAATTCTTCACATGTAATTCATTTTCTGTGTCTAATTCCTAGACTGAGTAAAATGATACTTTATTAAAGAAAACAAAACCCTGAGAGCAGCATTTCTAAAATATAAAAATGTACTTTTCTTATTTTAGGTAAGGATGACTGGTTTGGATGTCTACTCAGTAATTAGGGTGAATTTTTTCCCCCTTAAGTGTTTTGTTAAGATTTGGGAACATTCTAACATTGGCAGGGGGAATTATGTTCATTTTCTTTCTTGTGCCAGTATATGTTTTATATGGTATAACTATTTAACTGTAAAAAATGAAATCATAAAAGTACCAAAAAATGGTTAGTTTTATAATCAGGAAAGCCTTTCCTAAACATGGCACATAAAGCAGAGATCATAAAGAAGGGGTCAGAGTTCGCTATATTTAAATGTTAATCTCCTGCAATTTATAACAGCAGTCAAGTAATGAGCCAAGCAGATATATTTGAACATATTTGGAAAACAAAGTTTTTATATCCTCTCTATATCAAGAACTTTTGTAAGAACATAAGGAAAAGATGATCGGCTCCAATAGAAAAATAGATTGGGAACAGTTCACAAATGACTAGTGGACACATGCTCACATTTAACTTTGGAAGTGGTGTTACTGGTGTTAGTGGGACCTGGAGCCAACGTAATGTGGCAGCATGCTCTGTCTCTGTAGTGGAATGTACAAAGACTGCCGTCTCTGTGCCACGCTTGTGCCGTCTCCACAGACCAGACCTTGTGGCTCTCTTTTCCCACTTCACCAGCTCCTTGATCAAATCAATGAGGCTTTTAAACAGAACACCCTTTTTTTCCCCTCGATATCATTGGCAGTCTTTTTAAATTTATTATTTTTAATTTAAATTTTATTTTTCAGTTACAGTTTCCATTCAGTATTACTTTGTATTGTTTTGTGTTTGTGTGTATTAGGTATGTAGCATAGTGGTTAGACAGGCACACACTTTACAAAGTTTCCCCCCAATATATCCAGCACCCACCTGGCGCCATACATAGTTTTACAATATTATTGACTATAATTCTCTGTTCCGTACTTTACATCCCCATCACTACTACTCTTACAGCCAGCAATTTTAGCTTTTTTACTCAGTCCCCCAACACACCTCCTCTCTGGTGACCTCCAGTTCGCTCTCTGTATTTATGAGCTTTTTAATTTTGTTTGCTCATTTATTTTGTTGTTTAGATCCCACATATAAATGAAATCATATGGTATTTGTCTTTCACTGACTAGTTTCACTGAGCATAATACCCTCTAGGTCCATCCATGCTGTCGCCAATGGTAAGATTTTGTTCTTTTTATGACAGAGTAGTATTCCTTTGTGTAAATATGCTACAGCTTTTCTACCCACTCAGCTAATGATGGGCACTTGGGTTGTTTCCACATCTTGGTTATTGTAAATAACACTACAGTGGACTTAGGGGTGCATATATTCTTTCAAGTTAGTGTTTCAGGTTTTAGAAGATGCTGTTTTTTACATATTAAATTGTTAAAGGAAACGAACATGTCCCTGTATGCAGTGGTTCAAAAAGTGTGGAAATTTGTATGCCCTTTGAACCAGCAACTCCTTTCTAGGCATTATTCCAAAGAAATTTGCAGAGCTATAAATATGAAAAGTTTATTTACAGTACCTTCAATGTTTTTCATAATAGGGATATTTTGGAAACATTCTAAAGTAGTACTGTTTAGTAGAATTTTTTAAGAGAGAGAAGGGAGGAAGAGAAATACATGTGAGCAAGAAACAGCAATCAGCTACCTCTCATAGGTGCCCCCACTGGGGACTAAACCTGCAGCCTAGGCATGTGCCCTGACCTGGAATCGAACTGTGACCTTTCAGTTCACAGGAGGATGCTCCAACCGAGTGAGCCACACGGCCAGGACAGTAGAACTTTCTATGACTAGGAAAATGTTCCATATAGGTGTTAATACAGTAGTCAGTAGTTACATATGGTTATTCAGCATTGGAAATGTTGCTAGTAGAGTTGTGGAACTGATTTTAAATTTTATGTGCTTTTAATTAAATTTCAATAACTACTGTGACTATTGCCCACTGCACTGGACAGTGCAATTTTACAGCATCCTGCTAAAGAGATTTGGTTAAATAAATTAGAGTCCCTGCAGATGTGATATATTGAGTTGACCAAAAAGTTCATTTAGTTTTATCTGTAAAATAAAAGACATTTTTCATTTTCACTAAAAATTTTATTGATTTGGATATTTTGAGTATGTTGGCTATCTCCTTTGTGGTATAATGTTGACTGTTCTCAGTTGATGTCTCAATTTGATTGCTAGCAACTTCAACTGGTCTATCACACTGTGGAGCATTGTCCAGCGAGAAATCTTCAGCACAAAACTTTGCAAACCACTTTTGACATGTTTGATCAGTCACAGCACCTTCTGTATACACTGCACAAATCCTTTTTTGCATTTCAGTTGCATTTTTACCTTTCTTGAAATAATAAAGCACAGTATACCAAAAATTGCTTGTTTTCTTCCATCTTCAATATTAAAAGGGCTGCACAAAAATTCACCAATTTTGATAAGTTTTTTTTAATGCAAGTTGCTATGACAGCTGTCACCATACAATCTAACAAAATTGTTTCATACTTAGAGACAACTAAGCACTGCTAGAGCCATTTTACAGAATAAAAACAAACTTTTTGGCCAACCCAATACTATGCAGTCATTAAAAGTTATGTTGTACGATACTTAACATAGATTAATTAATATGGCATACCTAGAAAGATATTTAGAGAAAAAACAAATACTACAAGACTAGAAATCACAGTGTTGTCTGTTTTTTTCTGAAATTTTTTTTGTTTACGTACAGTAACCTAAGTTTGATAATGCACATCTGTTACTTTTGAAATAATATAAAAACACTTTTAAATAAAAAAGAGGATGCCATCTTCTACCCCCAAATCTTAGAACACTGAAAAATATGTCACTGTTTGAGAATTGTCAGCCTTGGAAATAGCCAATGGTATAGCATTGATAGCATTTTACTTATTAAAAATAGAACACTTCTTTAGTAAGTGGTGGTGTGAAAAATGGAGAGCTGCATATAAAAGAATGGAGTTGGGCCCTTATACTGTATGTAAAGATTAACAAAATGCATTAGAAGCCCTAAATTTAAGATCCAAAACTAAACCTTTTGAAAGAAGCCAGGGACATATCTTCAGGACCTTGGATTTATCAATGGTTTATTCAAAAGCAGAGGCAATAATAGAACTGGATTTCATGAAAATAAAACATTTTGTACATAAAGGACTCAGGAGAATGAAAGTCAACCCATAGAGTGAGAGAAAATGTTTGCAAATCTAATAAGGACTTAATTATCAGTATATAAAAAGAACTTTTACAACTCAACAACAGGACAGGCACCCAATTTAAAAAATGGGCAAAGGACTTGAGACATTTTTTCAAAGAAGATACACAAATGGAAAAACACACAAAAAAGATGCTCTGTGTCATCAGTCACTAGGTAAATGCAAATCAAAAGCACTTCACACTTGCTAGGATGGCTGTGTTCAAAAAGACAGAAAATAAGTCTTGGCAAGGATGTGGAGAATTTGGAAACTTCTACATTGCTAGTGAGAATATAAAATGGTGCCACAGTGGAAACAGTTTGATGCTCACTCAGAAAGTTAAACAAACATTGAACTCTAATGGACTCAGCAATTCAGCTCCTAGATGTGTACCCAAAAGATCTGAAAACAGGGACTCAGATGGATCCTTGTATGCTGATGTTCACAGCAACATTATTTACAATAGCCAAAAGGTAGAAAGACTCAAAGTGTCCAACAGACGTGTAAACAAAACCAGTACATCCA